CCTGACTTTCCCCATTGTGTGTGTTGTATGGCAGCCCTTTGATTGACCGCTTCCTCTTCCTCAAAATTATCAATGTATATTCAATAAAAGGGAAATAAACACCAAAAGGAACAAAAGGTACTGTCAGCGACAGATACTCCTGCTTCGAATAGATCTCTTTTCAACGTACGCAAACAAGATGTGGGGCAAGGCGCTTTATTACCGATTCGTCCATCTCGCAGTCAGTAGTCCATTTTTGGACGGGCGTTCTCCTTACCCTCCTCAGTATCATTAGGATTTTATCCGCTAACATGATATTAGTTTTTCGTTTTAATCTTTTTTCAAACCTTTTACATTTAAAGCGAACACCACTTCCCTTAAAGATTTTGACAGAGTTGAAGATGAGTGTGGGGGGGAGAAACAAGATTGTATACATGACATACTATGGTGTAAAGGGGTCAACAGGTAGCATACCGTGCTGCTGCTTCCTGAGAGTTGGTTGTGATCTCAATGGCGAGTTGAACCGATTTTTGTAAAGCATCTCGAGTACGTTGATCCACCGGTTCCACAGACTGAACATCAATACTCGTGATATGTAGATTGTTCTGTGAGAATACAAAACGGTCGCGAACCTTGTTGTTTTCGTCTAACCCGAACACGGAACTCCGGATAATGCGAGCGGAATTCTGGCAATGGAGATCGGGAGAAATAGCATACATGATGAGATATGCCTTGGACTAAAGTCTGTTCGCGCAGAGGCAAAGCTCAACTGGGGGGATAGAAAATAAGCACTTCTAAGATGCAAGCCGTTTAACGATAGCGCAGGTTTATGGCTACATACTATTGCAGCCCAGTAAAAAATGACCAAAAGTGGGCATTTGTATGAAGGTAGAGGACAACTCAGTTGAACGGGACAGACAATCTCACCTGCTGTCCTCGCCAGGAAACCATCATAACAATCGTACAACTAAAAACGCAGTGAAGCGAACTTCGGTGAATGCAGTCTAGCTGAATGTATACAACACAGGAAAATATGAGGTGAACATAGTTGCGCCTAGTTTAAGAGGAAGAAAGTAAACCTTAATGGCCAGCATGGAGAGTAAACAATCTG